CTAATTTTTATTCATTCACTTTAACAATATGTCAAGCAGCGATATTCCTTAAATCTTCGTCTCAATTTTTTTCTTAAAAATATTACACAATCATCATTATTTGCCTTCGAATGCCTCTTGGTGCTTTGGCTATATGATTATATATATATATATATTTGCCTTCTATACCGTTGTTCAGCTATCTTCTTTAAATACAACATTTTAAATCCATACCTTATACGATTTACATTCAAGGGCACATTGTTTTTTTTAGAGCTTTAGGGTCCACATATCACGCCCTACCTTTACTAGTTTTTCACATTTGTTGGAAGTAGACCCTTAAGTAGCTCTAAGTTATTATTGTCCGAATCACTTGGATATTATTTGTATGATACTGTTGAGTAGATTTGTGTGTACATATTATGACCAAATCACTCCTATCTTTATTGAATTTGTATTGTTTTCTATTTTTTATTTAGGTGATAGTAACGTCGGAAAGACCAGTCTACTCTATCAGTATACTGATGGGATCTTCAATCCTCGCTTTACTTCTACTGTGGGTGTAGATTTTAGACAGAAAAGGCTCATACGTGAAAGTAAAGAGGCTGATGGAATGTTAGGCCAGAAACAACGCTTGCATCTGCAACTTTGGGATACAGCTGGGCAAGAGAGGTTTGTACACTTTTTTCCATGCCATTTTCCATCTCGAGGTTCAATATCATTGAATTCACTTTTCCTAACTATTTATGGTAAATTTATTGCTACTAACTACTCAGCTATTTTTTTGTAATTTTTTAAGCTTGCATCTTTTATAACCCAATTCCATACTTTAGTTTCTTTTTAATACTACAAATTTTGTAATTAGTTTTGTGTAGCATCTTTATTGTAAACTGTGCTGATATGGAATTCGGTTGATATCATTTTCCTAACTTTGTTTTGTCAGGGCTACTAAGTTGTACGTACATTGTACGAAGTCCTCTGCCATAGTAGTCATAATAGTTACCAGTATCAGCCCGTATACTTGGTACATTCTCAGACGTTTCTCCGGCACTATCTGTGGGCCTCGCCATTCTCCGCACCAAGCTACAAACTTGGTTTGATATTGGGAATTATGGTAGCTACCATGAAAGAGGGCTTTAGACAAAGTTCATTCAACTGAGTCACCCTGACAACAATACAAAGTTGCGAAAATGAGGTCAACCCACTTCTATGAATAAAAAGGGAACTGCTGCCATACCGAAAGCCACACCATCTTGGTCTTTATATCTTCACTCAAACTGCTTATATACTTTATTAAAGTGTAATTATTCTGTGGTCCAACATCTATACATCTTACCCTACCCCAAAAAATATAAGAACATTTTGTGTGATTTTACCAGCAAGCTTTCGAGCTCTTTTTCGTTAATTATTGTCCACTAATGATGGTTTCTTCGCCTACAAGTTCACTACTGCATTACTCCGTCAGCTTTAAGCATGTATTAAAATTAAAATTAAGATTTTAGTGAGATTTTTAATATTATTATTATTATTGTTTATAAACTTTCATATTTTATGTTATAAGGTTGATTATTTACAATGCTTGCAAAATATAGCTTCAATTTCGCTGCGACATATTATTTGTTAAGGTCTTCTTTTTCAGTCTACTTTTGGTAGCCGAATTATTCATGTTTACTTTCTTTCTCTGAGCATTTTTTTAAAGAGCTTAAAGGGTATTTTGGCCATTAGTCTTTTTTATTATCTCATCACTTTTCTTTCATGTTATGTTCATATATTAGTGAGTCAACACTATAACATGCTAAGTTCGTTGGCGTAAATCGGATAATCTTCTCGATTGTCCCATCCTTGTCATGCAGAGCAATGCTCTTAAGACTTCTTATATTCTACGAAATGTTACTTATTGATTACACTTGTCTACTGATGTTTCTTTTATATTGCCATAGTTCTATGATTATTTATCAGGTGTTTTCATTATGCTGGGTGATGTAGATATATCGTTTTTATGAGTTTGGTTTTGTTTCCTCAACGTATCTTTTTTCTCACATTGCTTTACACGAGAGCTGTGCTCTTATACTATAAATGCATGCATACATATGGAAAAAATATCTTCCTTATTTCTATGAGGGCATCCTATGCTCTTCCTGTAGTTTAGTTTGGTATTTTTATCCCATTCTTATTCTCTTTATAATATATTCAAATTTGCTCTGCTTTATCAGGGCTTTAAATTAGGTTCCACGGATGAAAATCGCTTTTAAGGTCCTTCATTTTTACATAAACACATCTCATATCTACATTTTGAGCGGAAACTTCGTGTTCAGCTAATTTGAACTTAGGCCTCATCTGACCAAATTTATCGGAAAATATTGCCCAGAATTTGAATCCTTCAATCATTTCTCATGCTTTCGTCACCTAAAGAGACATATGTTGGTCATTGTTCTGGATCGTTTTTCATTTA